TCAGTGGAGGGAGGACACAGAGAAGAGTAATAGGGGATTATGACAATTCTCCAAGGCAGAAAGAAGGACTAAATCACTGAAAACATTAAGAAGAGGGCATCACAGTGGAAGTAACATCTCAAATGGGTCTTCAATGGGCTGAAAGATAGAGAAAGTGGACAACAGGGGAAGGGCATTATTTGCAAAGGGAACAGCATGTGCAAAATTACGGGAGCACAGGAATGTTTGGTACACAGGGTACAAGTCGTTTTGTGTGGCTGACGACAGAGCGGGGGCGGGGAGAGCAAAGGAGATGAGATTATAAAAGTGCAAGACCGCGATGAGCTGACGGCCCGGACCGGCGTTTCGAGGCCCGCCCGGCAGCGAGACCCCCTCTCCGCCACAGGTCAGAAAGAAGTCGACCGGGCGCGGGGCGCGCGCTGCGGTTCCGCGCCTCGGACGCGGCGGCGGGAGGGGCGCCGGAGCCCGGCGGGTCGAGGCTGCGGGGCCGGGAGCGGCCGCTGCGGTCCGGTCGGGGCGCCCGCGGGAGGATCTGACTCAGAAAAAAAAATTGTTTTAAACAAAAATGATAACAAAATCAAAAAATAAATAAAAATATAGTTGGTCCTTGGACAACTCGGGTTACGGATGCTGTCCCTCAGCCTCCCCAACCGTGGGTCCAGAGCGCGTGTATAATGTATGACTCTCTAAAAACGCAACTCATTATAGCTTGCTGGTGACCAGGAGCCTTACCAATAACAAACAATCACTAGCACATATTTTGTGTAAGTATTATATACTGCATTCTTATAAAAGAAAGCTAGAGAAAAGATGTTTTCAGACAATTAGAGGAAGAAGCTAGAGCGCCATTCATTGAGTAGAAGTGGGTCATCACAAAGGTCTTCGTCCTCTTCAAGCTGAGCAGACTGAGGAGGAGAAAGAGGAGGCGTTGGCCTTGCTGCCTCCGGGGTGGCGGAAGAAAAGGAAGTAGAGGAGGCAGGAAGGCAGGCAGGAGAGGCTGGTGCGCTTGGTGTAACTTTTTTGAAAACCCTCCATGTGTGAGGAAACCCCTGGAGTCGACTGCATGTCTGTAATTTCATGTCAATGTGGAAAAGATAATTATTCAACAAAGGGTTTAGGAAAAGTAGGAGACGTCGTCTGGAAGAATAAATTAGGTTGGGTCTCTGCCCAACAACTGACCACAGTATGTATTCCGGAAGGCTGCAGAGAGTACATATGTGTGCACGTGTGTTTGTCCATCTTCCCCCTCTGGTTACGAATTTCTGCTCATGTTATTTCCTATTGTATCGATTTTTGTCCATCTTATTTATTTTTATTATTTTATTTTTGTGTGTGTTTGTGTTTTAGATTACCTCATATTTACTTAGCAAGTAAGGAGCCTATTTGTTAAACTTGTGACCAAAGAACGGAGCACATCATAACATACTTGGTAATATAGTAGAAATTTAAAACGGGCCACATAGGGAATGCTTTTTAAAAGCATGCTGCAGAGTTTAGACACTACTTAGAAACATTAACACATTACAATAACTACAAATTGAAGCTATCCATACAGCAAAATGAATAAATAACAAAATAAAAATCTTAAAAGTACAGTCTAAGGACAATGTGTGACATGTGTCAAATACAGAATCTTAAATTATGAAGAGGTCTTACCTAAATCTGTACTTAAAAATAATAGCTGTTGGCTGGGCTCGGTGGCTCAAGCCTGTAATCCCAGCACTTTGGGAGGCAAGACAAAAGGATTGCCTGAGCCCGGGGGTTCAGGACCAGCCTGGGCAACTTGGTGAGACCATGTCTCTACTATACATCAAAAAATTAGCCTGGCATGGCGGCATGTGCCTGTAGTTCCAGCCACTTGGAAGACTGAGGCAGAAGGATCACCTGAGTCCAGCAAGTCAAGGCTGCGGTGGCCATGAGCATGCCGCTGTACTCCAGCCTAGGTGATAGAAAGAGACTTAGACTAAAAAAAAAAAAAGGTATTAGTCTTACTATGCAGACATTTTCTAAAAAGTAGATCTATTTATATACATTGACACGATATGACATCCAGTATGACATCAAGTAAACATATATTTTTACCCTCAAAAATAGTTTAAATATAAATAACAAAAATTATGCTATACTACATACGTATTATTCCTACAAATATGAAGTCATGCTATAGATGTTGATAAATGTATCTTTATACATGAAGGCATAGAAAAAGCATGGAATTTTATGGCTATGGCCTCAAAAGCACAGGCAGCAAAAGCAAAATACACAAGTGGGACTACATCAAACCAAAAGCTCTACCCAGCAAAGGAAAGAGTTGACAGAGTGAAAAGGCAACCAATAGAGTGAAAGGAAATATAACTGTCCCTTAGTAGTCATGGAGCATTGGACACAAGACCTTCTCAGATACCCAAATCCAGGGATGCTCAAGTCCCTGATATCGAGTGGTGTAGTATTTGCCTATAACCTACACACAATCAATCCTTCCACATGCGTCACATCACCTCTAGATACTGTTAGCATTGATTACAATGTAAATCCTACATAAATAGTTGTTATGCTGTGTTTTAGGGAATAATAATGAGGAAAAAGGCTGTACATGTTCAGACTTTAAAAACAATGTATTTGCCAGGCATGGTGGCTCATGCCTATAATCCCAGCACATTGGGAGGTCGAGTTGGGAGGATTGCCTGAGCCCACGGGTTCGAGACC